AATATGTCATTTTTTAAATCTTGCAATGTGTAGATCAGGTTCATGCAAAACATTGGGAGAACAACTGTCCTCGGTTGACCTTTTTTATTAGTTTACAGATTTTTTAATTGAAACAAAATTATTTTGTAAAAAATTCTTACATGACATATACACTATAATACCTCTATTGGGACATAACCATTTAAAAATGTGATATGGAATTTGTTCCTTTAAGATGTGCCCATTTCTGGTGTCCCCCTGCCGTGATGTTGCTGGAATATTGCTAAAAGCTGTGTAAAGCCAAACTCGGTCAGTCAGTCCTTTAAGATGTGACAAAATAAAAGGATACATTATTTTATTCTCCCTGCTCTGCATAATATATTTAATTCCAGTTTAATATACAAAGAAAATACGAACAAATATGGGGCATGGATTACTTTGAAGCGAGAATCAGGTTTGGCTGACAAAAGAATTAACCAGAAATAGATATATGGCAAATTTTGTGCCAGGGTTTTATATACTCATGTCTGTCTACAGATATGTGTCCCCCAGTGTTCATTCATACAGCTTATTATTACTCTACCGGTGTAGCAGCCCAGAATAACCCCCCACCAGATTATACCCCGGGGTAAACTAAAGGCTAGCCCAGTTTATACCCCGGGGGTATATTCTGGACCAGGTCAAAGTATACCCCTCCAACCCAGACCATACCCCTAAAAATTATGTTGACAATTCACTCAATATGAGTGTGTGACTCAGGGCAATGGTCTTGGTGTCATTTAAAGGAATTTGTAGGTGCATTTCATTTTACATTACTGCATAATACAAAAAAATTATGAAGTATTTGTTGAGTGCCTCTCTGCGATGTGATATTTTCGACTTCGCGTAGTTCGCGTAACCCAGCCATGCTGATATATCATCAAGGTTAGTAGTTAGTTATTTGCTTTTTTAGCGTCGCATGAACAACTAAGGTATTTTGGAGACGGGGTAGTACACTTATTAAGAAATGAAGAGGAACAAAAAATAGAAATTTTGAAAGAGTGGTGTTACTACCCAAAAAAACAACAACTGAGTATTAAGGGAAATTTAAATGGGAGGGCGAATTAAAAAAGTAAAAAATATAAAATAAGTAAAGAGTAATAGAGATTTGGAATTGAATATAGATGTAGCAAAGCTTGCCATCCATACCTGAAGCATGATACGTCGTCGCGCAGACATTTACTACACTTGAACAATCAACACATTCAGTTTCCAATGTTCATTCCATGTGTATCAGCAAGTACACCGAAATTTTAAATATGGCCGTCATATTGATTTGTGTGAAATGTATACAAATTTTCCAGCATATTTTTCTGTTCTCATACTTTGAAACAGATTAAGACAATTTCCATAATATTCATTTATCTCCTCTATATAGCATTTCAGTAACAAATTGAAAATATTGATCTATGTTTCAATATAATATATATTTTCATCATTATTCCTTTGTCTATCAAGCTGTTAATGTAAAAATATTTCACCAAATAAATTTATAAATATAAAAATTCTGAATCATAAAGGAAATGACTTGGAAAAATCAAAAAGCATTGCCAGTGGATCGAATATCAGACCAGCACTGAGGATTACACTGACACGCTGTGTTCCAAACATCAGACAAAAATATGATATCTCCCTCACAACTAATTATTGTCACCTGATGTTTAGCAAACAACCTTCTCTGACATATAGACACCTTTCATGTTATCCATAAGCAAAATGTTGACATTTTCGCACAAAAACAAGCGTTTGCCCGAGTTTGCTAAAGTTTACAAAATTAAAGTTTACATGCAGTCACTGATTGAAAATATGCTTAAACTTCCATTTGAAATTATTTTAAAAGTTTCTATTTAGGAAATAAACCTTTAATATATTTGTTATTAGTGCTTTGCAAAACAAAACAATATATTCCAACATGTTATCATTTATTGTCATGTGGATAACAGTCTGTAACCATGCATGTTTCATGGAGGAGGGAAGGGGATGAGTTACCATTCAGCTTAAGACATGTAAATTAGTATGGATTGGGATCTTTGTGTAGCTTCTACAGTGGCTTGATGTGATGTGTTTCTGCTATCAGACAGGATCATTTTGTTTTATTCATTTTAATCTTTTTCTTTCTTTCTTTTTTTGTGGAATTGGCTGTGAGGCACCACCATTCCATGTATGTGATGTTAGGAGATTATGTAGAGACAGCATTGTTGTTGGGGGAATTCATTACTATTTCATTGATTGAAAACATGGACGGCAATTTCACCTGAGATCTTAAAATAGCAGAACATAGTTGAGTCAGGTACGCCATGAGGACCAACACATGCTGTGTAGGGCTAAACATGACAACAGGTATTTTTTAAAATAAATTATACATATGAAACAGCTGTTTGATTTGTTTTGAGAACAAGTTTCAGTGTTTACTGAATATAAAGTTTGTTTTGTTTTGCTTCATGTAGATATATAACATATGTTGTCAGGGGCATGTCATAAATGAATACTCAATGGGTTTTTACAAAATCCTCAAAAATAACAAACCTCCTGCGTCACTAAAATATACTAGAATATGCACTTTGTGAAAATGTTTTTTTACATTTTTTACTGAAATTATGTCGATACAACATGTGATGTTAGGAGATTATGTAGAGACAGCATTGTTGTTGGGGGAATATTATGTAGATACAACATGTGTTTTGAGGGGAATATTATACAGATTCAAAATGTGATGTTGGGAGAATATGTAGATACAACATGGTTTTTGGAGAATATTATGTAGATATATACAGATGTTCTGGGGGATTATCATGGCCACTTTACATTTGTTGTTTGGAGGTATATGTCGTGTATATACAGCGCATGTTGTTTGGGTAATACAATGTAAACATAATACAGAATGTTGGAGGGAATATCGTGTAAATATCATAAAGGTTGTTAGGAGAAAATGTGTAGAATTTTGTGTCGATACAACATGTATTGTTTGGTGAATATCATGTAGATGTAACGTGTTGTTTGGGGAATATCATGTAAATATAATACATCTTTGGGGGAATATCACTATAGATACAACATGAGCTGTTGGTAAAAATAATGATGTCAAAATGCATGTCATACAGATATAAGAGCACATTTCAATGGGGGAGAATGTTGTGTCGATATACAGCACATGTTGTTGGAGATAATATTGTGTCGATATGCAACACATGTTTTGGAGGGATTGTTGTGTCAATATAACAACACATTGTGTAGATATGGCTTGTGTCGTTTGGAGAACATGATATTGAGCCATTTGGTATGATGGCAATGTGCATCTAGTGATGCTGAAGTAGAATACATAAAGCATTATCAGTTGAAACTGTATTCCAGTATACTGCATATCAACACAATAACTACTGGAATTGTAACACATTTACCCTTTTTATTTTTCAAATTAACAAAAGATGTCTATCACTTGTTTTATAACCCATTGGTACTCTAGGAGTTTTCATTCTGTAAGAAAACTGAGGCAACTTTATGGATAATGGCGTCTGGTTTATTGCATTTAATGATGTATGATGTAGATTTTGTGATCTCATTCTAGTCAGTGGCCATATATATGTACATATATAGAGATATATTCGGACAGAGCATTTTCCGGGAGTCCCAAGATGGCCAGATCTCATCTCTTAGAAGACAAACCTGACTCTGTAATGGGTTTCTTACTTAACTGAATAACATCAAGACGAAAATATCTCTCATATTGGAAGAGGCATCAAGGTTGACTTAACATTAAGGGAAGGTTGCAAAAGAAATATTTTAGTGTCGTTACCAGACAGAAAGAGGACGAAATCACATGACCATCTTAGAGCCATTTTGTATTAATAAAGTCGGGAAAACAGATTTATTATTGAATTTCATCCCTTCAGTTCATTCTCCAAACTCAATTATAAGACATTTGGAAATTCCAATATTCTCTGGATAAGATGAAAGATGATTGAAGCTGTGAAAGTATGAGGGGGGTCGCAGATGAACATGAAAAATCACTCCTGTCTGATTGTGCCCCATGCCCTCCTTGACAAAAACCTTAAAAAGGGAGCATCTCCTGTAATTGTGCCCCAGGTCCTAGCTAAACACCACCTCGGGAAGGGAGCATCTCCTTGCTGATTGTGCCCCAGGTCCTAGCTAAACACCACCTTGGGAAGGGAGCATCTCCTTGCTGATTGTGCCCCAGGTCGTAGCTAAACACCACCTCGGGAAGGGAGCATCTCCTTGCTGATTGTGCCCAAGGTCGAAGCTAAACACCACCGGAAGGGAGCATCTCCTTGCTGATTGTGCCCCAGGTCGTAGCTAAACACCACCTCGCAAAGGAGCATCTCCTTGCTGATTGTGCCCCAGGTCGTAGCTAAACACCACCTCGGGAAGGGAGCATCTCCTTGCTGATTGTGCCCCAGGTCGTAGCTAAACACCACCTCGGGAAGGGAGCCTCTCCTTGCTGATTGTGCCCAAGGTCTAAGTTAACACAACTTTGGGAAGGGAACCTCTTCTTGATGATAGTTCCCCAAGTCCTTGCTAACACAACCTAACGAAGGAGACATCTCCTTGATGATTGTATACCCAGGTCCCATTTAACACAACCTTGAGAAGGGAGCAATCTTCTGATGTAAAACATCTCATGGTTGATTGTGTCCCAGGTCCCATTTAACACAACCTTGAGAAGGGAGCAATCTTCTGATATAAAACATCTCATGGTTGATTGTGTCCCAGGTCCTACTTAACACAAGCTTGGGAAAGAAATTCTCCTTACTGATTGTATAACCTAAGTCCTTACATGTATACTGTTATCTGAATACTGTTCCATGTGATATGTGTAATGTCTCCTTGACCAGCCTGTCAGACGTCTGACGTGTGCATGTACAATTACATATTAGATAGATATTGTTCTTCTGCATTATTAACCTATAATCCACATACATCATCACCATAATTCACTTACTCATTCATGTGTATTTGTGTTTCAGCCTCATGACGGATCATCCCGAGGTTCCAGCCCGGTCACCATGATCTCCGTCAACGAAGGGGGCAAACAGTCATCAAAGCAGCGGCGGACACCAAGTCCGATACGGAAGGTCAGATCTGAGATGCAGAAAACAGCTTCAAGTGATCCGACTCTCAACCAGATTCCAAGAGGAAGTCCAACTCCAGGATTTCGACCACGCAGCCTCACTTTCAGTTTCACAAACAGATACCGGTCACGTCGCAGACGAATGTCGCTTGGGTGTAAAACTGGCGACAATAAAACTAATTCCATCACCCATTCTACTCAGCTGTCCTTTCTGGACTTTGTGGACTTGTTTAAAGCATTCGGACTTCGGTGCCGCAAGGACTTGAAAGAACTATTTGAGCAGTTTGCCGTTACCAAGTCAACAGGAATGGAACTGCCATCTGTGAAGCACCCTCCATACATTCCTAGTCCAAGAGATATGTGTAAGCTCAGATTTAACCTTCTTTTTTCAAGTTTGCTTGATACAATTTTTTTCCACAAATTGCCCAGTTATCTCAGGTACTGAAATTTATTGTGCACAGCTGCATCTCTTGGCATGCTAATATTCTATGAATATATGTTTGAATTATGAATTAAGCCTGATTATTATTCTGGATTTGTTAGCACCAGACTTATGCTTGTTGATTACATCAAGGTGTTACTTATTTAGAACCCAGCTCCGTTCCACAAAGTGATCATAACTGTAGTACTGGCATATGTTATGTATGTTAAAGTATGAGAGTTCCATCATCATAGCACCAAGATTGTGTTTTGAAGCATTTTCACCATTTATGACTCACTGTTTATGACCTGATCTAACTAGCCTAACATAACATATCAGTGGCTTGTCCACAATGGTGAACTTGAAGTACATCTACATATCAGTGGCTTGTCCACAGTGGTGAACTTGAAGTACATCTACATATCAGTGGCTTGTCCATAATGGTGAACTTGAAGTACATCTACATATCAGTGGCTTGTCCATAATGGTGAACTTGAAGTACATCAACATATCAGTGGCTTGTCCACAGTGGTGAACTTGAAGTACATCTACATATCAGTGGCTTGTCCACAGTGGTGAACTTGAAGTACATCTACATATCAGTGGCTTGTCCACAATGGTGAACTTGAAGTACATCTACATATCAGTGGCTTGTCCATAATGGTGAACTTGAAGTACATCAACATATCAGTGGCTTGTCCACAGTGGTGAACTTGAAGTACATCTACATATCAGTGGCTTGTCCATAATGGTGAACTTGAAGTACATCTACATATCAGTGGCTTGTCCACAGTGGTGAACTTGGAAGTACATCTACATATCAGTGGCTTGTCCACAGTGGTGAACTTAAAGTGCATCTACATAGCAGTAGCTTGTCCATAATGGTGAACTTGAAGTACCAGCTTAACACTTCACCTATACAAACACAGTTTAGTTTCTTGGAATTACTCTGCTTCCTGGCATTTTCTTAAGTTAATACGTCTCCCATTTCTTCATTAGGAACACAATTATTCTATTTCCTATACATGCCTCCACAAACACCAGCTAATAGCTGCACAAACAAATGCAATTGACTGGGCTGCCACAATTTGGACTACGTGGTAGAAATTAACAAGCATTTGAGCAGATATTGTATGATAAACTGACTGATTGACCCACCTCACAATCAAACAACAGGTTTGTCTTCCTCTGTTGTTCCAGTGTATGGTAAGTGGATTGATATTCCCTGTCAATGGATTGATATTCCCGGTCAGTGGATTGATATTCCCCATCAGTGGATTGATATTCCCCATCAGTGGTTGATATTCCCGGTCAGATTGATATTCCCCATCAGTGGATTGATATTCCCTGTCAGATTGATATTCCCCATCAGTGGATTGATATTCCCCATCAGTGGATTGATATTCCCCATCAGTGGATTGATATTCCCTGTCAGTGGATTGATATTCCCATCAGTGGATTGATATTCCCCATCAGTGGATTGATATTCCCCATCAGTGGATTGATATTCCCCATCAGTGGATTGATATTCCATCAGTGGATTGATATTCCCTGTGATTGATATTCCCCATCAGTGGATTGATATTCCCTGTCAGTGGATTGATATTCCCCATCAGTGGATTGATATTCCCCATCAGTGGATTGATATTCCCTGTCAGTGGATTGATATCCCCATCAGTGGATTGATATTCCCTGTCATGATTGGATTGATTGATAGTCCCCATCAGTGGATTGATATTCCCCATCAGTGGATTGATATTCCCCATCAGTGGATTGATATCCCCATCAGTGGATTGATATTCCCCATCAGTGGATTGATATCCCCATCAGTGGATTGATATTCCCTGTCAGTGGATTGATATTCCCTGTCAGTGGATTGATATCCCCATCAGTGGATTGATATTCCCTGTCAGTGGATTGATATTCCTTGTCAGTGGATTGATATTCCCATCAGTGGATTGATATTCCCCATCAGTGGATTGATATTCCCTGTCAGTGGATTGATATTCCCCATCTGTGGATTGACATTCCCCATTGCTTTGAAGGATATACTTGTTATCCTGCCTTACACTCACAGTGTGTCTGTCATTACAAGAATGTATATCAGTTGGCTGGTGTAAGATGGTATTCCACTGATGTGATAACATTCACAAATCTACAAGATCTCACACTGAAACCAGCTCTTAGCTGCAGTTCTTGATGACCTTCATGTGCTGAAAAAATAATGTTCCACAAATGTGACAAAATGCTGCCATTACAATAATGCATTAATCATCAGTTCTGCTGAAACATGATTATTGCATGGAGTATGGTACATTCTCAATTGCTGCTGAATTTCCTACAGATTTTCTTCATTGAGTTAAGGTCTGGACACTTTAGTCAGCACCATCCATAAATTGAAGCTGGTCCAGCGGCAAAAACTGATGTCATTACATTGTTACTTCTCTTTTACTTTTGGAAGGTTATTTTTTATAGTTTAATTCATGATATTGTACTTTATAGTCACACACACACACATGCATGTTCAAATCCTTTTAATATTTAGAAAACCTGCCACAAAATTGAATTAAGTTGTTGAGTGTATTAAGGCATGAGATAATCAATTAAACAATGTCTTACGGGTTTGAATATCAGCATGTTTCGAGAATGACTTGAGCACAAAAACACGTCTTTCTGTTAAAATCTATCATGCGGTTTCATTGTGTGTTAGTATACTTAACACAATCATGTATTTTCTAATTCAATTTCCCCTGGCTGAGCACAATGTCAAGAATGCCAAGCCATGACGCCACAGCTCTTGCTTGAGAATAATAGATCACTCGGGATGTGGGCGGAAATGTCCAATAACAAGATGGAGAATGATGCTTATCACTCTCCATCACTGAACTAATCCATGCTCGCTTGTATCACATGACCACATGAGACGGAGCAACGTGACTCCGCGATGGCCATGACCAAGTCTGTGTCAGGACTTAATAAGATATCTTCCAGGCAACTAGTGATGTATCACTGGAGAGAAGGGAGTTCGCAGTCAGTTGTTTAGTAGGGGGTGAATAAATCTAATTTCAAGTACACACATAACTATCTTACTAGAACTATCTTGCTTGTCAGTAAGTTCATGTATTTATGTAAGAATGCTGAACCACTTGTTTGTTGGAAGGTTTATCTGATGATTTGTGAAAAAATCAATACTTTTTGGAATGGTGTTCAGGAATTTATTGCCATGTTGGAGAGTCAATGGCCGAAAGTTGTGGGTCATGATGCTGAAAATGGGATGAGATCTAGCATGGATTATTCAACAGTGAAGACCATCAATACTGATAACTGGAGTTTGTGAATATTTGATAGATGATATTTGAAGCAATAAGCCTACCGAACTGGTTAGGAAGTTATTTAGGGAAATTAGGATGTTTAAGTACACTTGTCCGATGGAAGCCCAAATATTACATAAAAGTCTGTTTGGGGTCCATCCACTAAGGGTCCGCAAATTGCAGTCCATGGGGTTTCTGGCGCCCACATTTTACATCGGGAATCAAGGAGGCTGCACTGGGATCAGCGTTTACTTCTGAGAGGTAAATATAACAATGTCACTATGTTATAAATTATCTATAGAATATAAACTCGTGATGTGCTTTATAGCAAATATATGGTTGACAGATCAATGTCTATTTCTTTCTTTCATAGTCTCAATTGCCCTGTTGGACTGGAACACATCGTGTTCCACACAGGGAAAAAGCGGAAGGATGTGTATCGAGCATTGTATGGTGCGCTCGTGGTAAGTATGTTAAACCATAAATAATTTCAGTTTCATCATTGTCGTTTTCTATGTAGTACTTTCCATACACTGATTTGCAAGACAAGAAACTGCAAAAGATATTCAGACACTGTAAACAGTTGGTTTTTATGTGTGCAGTATGGAGAAGCTGGCCCCCGGGAATCACCTTGGTCTATCCGACTGCTGTAAGGGAGGTAGTGAGGGGTCGTTTCCCAGAGGAAACTCCAGGAAAATACGATGACCAATACCTTACCAAGGTAAGTATGTATACATTTGCGTCTGCGCATGTAATGCATTCCATAATGCTTTTCTAATATAAAGTTACGTCATGTATGATATTGACATTGTTCAATAACTTATTGATGTTTGATCTCTTTATTCGTACACGATATGTATAACATTGATTAACACAAAAATAACTTTATTTCTCACCTTATAAATAAAGGTCACACATCGGTACAATGTACTGTGTGAAGGAATAGGTACCAACAAATCCACTAACAAATGAATGCTTATATGGGAATAATTCTATTTCAGCAGGGTCGCCATGTCACATTGGCAGAGATAGCATCATTGAAATTGAGGGTCCCCAAACCTGTGCCAAAAGTGTCGGGCAACAAGACCAGCCATCCCAGAAAGAACCAGATCTTCCACTGCCCCATACTGAGGGATACTTGTGCTGAAGAACGCTTTTTTCTTACTACATACATTGTATTAAACTCAATTTCACAAAGAATGTGTTTCTCAGTTATTAACTTTGCATTATGCAAAGTAAATTAGAACAGAAAAACATGAATGATTACCATGTATGACGTGTATCAGGACAGTTACAATTGAAGCGAAATACAACATTGTTCAGTAGTGTCAACATTCACTATTGACTCGAGCCCATGTCTGAAACGAAAAATTGTTACTTCCAGCACTGATTTATTCTTGAGGTAGTCATGACACGTACAACCCGTCCATGTTGTGGACATGTTTCTTTCATGCACTTGGTGCAGCATGTTTTCACCTTTCTATCACTACTTATGGGACAAGAATGACAGCCGTCTTTTCTTTGCCTGTGGATTTGCTTCACTGCTTGTTGTACGTACTTCAGCTGTGTACCCAGCATTTGCAAAGTCAGAAGTAAGTTGCTCCCGGGTGTTTGATGCCATCCGTCTTTGAATGTTTGGTCCTGTTGAGTGCCTCGCACAGTTCCAAAAGGAAATGTCGCGTCTTGTTCTCTGTTTGTTCTGCCACAGTGGATTCTTTCCCAGCCAGATGATATAGGCAGCAATGGCAGCTATGTCGACCATATTCATAGAAATACACAACAAAGGCCATCTGTTGGTTTTCTTTGACACTATATCGGTGTGCAAGCTGGTCTAGGGAATCCACACCACCTTTTGTTTCATTGTAGAACAAGAATCATTTCAGGCTTGTGATTCTTGTCAACAATGACATCAGGAGAGCTATGCATGGTTGAGAGCAAAGTGACAGCTTTGGACTTCTTTGGTACATACGACACCATAGTTGCAGTTTCGAAAGCCCAAAATGGATGATTCCACTTCTAGTGCACGCGTTTTGGTAGAAATTCAGCTGGAACAAATGTTAAGTTTGAGCGCACCGTTCCAACAAGAGTAAGTTGATCCTTCTGAAGGTTCAGAGCCAGATTCAGAGAAGTGAAATAGTTGTCCATTGTAATATTTCTTCCAGAAAGGGCATAAAGGTCGTGCCAGATCCATGACGACCTTTTCTCCACGACCAACTTGCACTCTACCAGCCTCCTTTCCAATATAGGAGGGCACGCCTTCAGTGGGTAGAACGTTTTGGCATCAACGATCCAAAATATTTTGGAGTCCATATTTGTCTGGCTTTGAGGGAATATATTGCTTGAAGCCGCATCTTCCCTGAAGGGCACCAATTATTCATCTACTGTGAGATACGCACCTGGAGAATAAAAGCGTTGGAAATTAAGCTCCCTCGACATGGTTGAGCATACTTGTGATAATTAAGTACAGATGTATCATGCAGCTCAGCTGAATGCAGTGAGAATCATATCTAGATATATTGATCTTGAGACAAGATTACAAAATAACATTTCCAATTTTCATAGGATTTTATGTTTTAAACTGGGGTTATAGTGCCCATCTACTCCTTTCTTACACCATTCACAAACCACTGTTTCCTTACTGTCACTTCACTGATATACAAACTGCCTCTGTGGTGTAGTGGTTAGAGCGCCCGCCCAGAGAGCGGAAGGTTCGATCCCCGACCGCATCATACCAAAAGACGTTAAAATATGGTACTTGTTGGTCCCTGCCTGGCGTTCGGCATTAATGGGTACAACAAGGACTGGTCAGCTCAGAGTCAGTACAATGTGTCTGAGTGGGGTATAATTCATGCTTCACTGCGGCATGGTATCTCAGTGGGCTAGCACTATAAAACCAGCTTCAGTCTGGGCTAGTACAAGCAGCCGCACATACACATACACACGCATGCACATCATCATATCAGCGAAATATTCTCAAGCACGACGTTAAACCCAATTTCACCTCACCTCACTGATACACAATTGACTCTTCATTGAAACAAAATTGACACAACATAGAACATAATTGACAAAATGATGCATCATTGACACCAACTGAAACATCATTGACCCTTTAGTAAAACATTATTGGCCTTTCATTGACACTTCATTGACACGTCACTGAAACATTGTTGGCCTTACATTGACACTTTATTGATACTTTGCTGAAACATTTTTGGCCTTACATTGACACTTTATTGATACTTTTCTGAAAGATTGTTAGCCTTTCATTGACACTTCACTGAAACATTGTTGGCCTTACATTGACACTTTATTGATACTTCACTGCAACAATGTTGGCCTTACATTGACACTTTATTGATACTTCACTGCAACAATGTTGGCCTTACATTGACACTTTATTGATACTTTGCTGAAACATTGCTGGCTTTACATTGACACTTTATTGATACTTTGCTGAAACATTGCTGGCTTTACATTGACACTTTATTGATACTTTGCTGAAACATTGCTTGCTTTACATTGACACTTTATTGATACTTTGCTGAAACATTGCTGGCTTTACATTGACACTTTATTGATACTTTGCTGAAACATTGTTGGGCTTACATTGACACTTCACTTAAGCATTGTTGGCCTTACATTGAAACTCCATTGATATTTCATTGACATTTCATTTAGAGTTCATTGGCACTTCATTGCACAAACCACGCTTCAGCTGCATCACCAGTACAATGAGTGATGTCCTTCATGTTTATATAAATGTAAAGTTTGTCAGATTGTATTCAACAGATGTGATAACATTAACAAATATACAAGATCTTACACTGAATAGCCAACACTGCCCCACAGTTCTTGATGTCCTTAGTGTGTTGAAAAAATAATATTCCACAAATGTGAAAATAGGTTGTCATTTCAATAATGCATTCATCAGTTATGTTGAAAACATGGTCATTAAAGAAGTATTCATTTGTAATAATAGGCAGATGTCCAGGGAAAAAACACAGAACCACTAAAAAATTATTTCTTTGCCATCTTCCACAAAATTAAAAGCATTATTATTATTTATTCCACAGGTGTGATAACACGTAACAATGCACTAGATCTCACCCAGGACAACCAACAGCGCCGCACAATCTGCGACGTCCTCGCTGTATCTAGCATCATCTCCAATTTCGCTGGGGTGGAGACAACGCCAACCAAGTGCATGGGTTTGCGAGAGTTCCGCCAGTTCCTCGAGGACTACCAGGAGGAGGCATATGATGACGATGAGATCATCGAGCTGATCCAACGCCATGAACCGGACTCAATGTTGTGAGATCGCTGTTGTCTATCATTTGAGGGATTCGCCAAGTTCCTCATGGACAAGGATAACTTTGCGTATCTGCCTGAGAAGACCAAGCACAATGATGAGGTAAGGAAGATGGGTTATAGGTAATGGAAAAAGATTACTTTATGTGATTGTTTATATTCCAAACACAATATACAGTCACCATTTTGGTGGTTTGATTGACTTTAATGCTACTGTCAAATGCACATTTCAGAGAGCTTTATAAAACATGGAATGGTTTCCAAAACAGATCATGTCACCAATGCCAGATGCATTATGGTCTGGAATCACATTTCATCCATTTGGTTGATTTTAAAGTAGAGCTTATTTCTTTATGAAACATTGACCTGAGTTGGCAAGCTTATTCCAAGTCATTCACATGTGACCATCAATGATTTTCGATTTAGGGATGTAGTTGGCTTAGAGGACACAGTCACAAGTCATTGTTAAGAGATGCATTTTGTGTCTATATCCACTGATCATGGGTTCAAATCCCAGATTCCATGTAATTATGAAGCTTGGTGTGATGGCACCATACTCATGCTTTGGTTTGACCAATATGGTAATTGTCTCTGTTCAGTGTCAGTTTGTACTTTCCTCCACAATTAAGTTATCTGACTGTTTTGTAACATATATATTGTTGAAATAACTCCTTCACTCACTCTGTGTTTCAGGATATGAACCATCCCCTCCCTCACTACTACATCGCCTCATCTCACAACACATATCTCACTGGACATCAGCTCAAGGGGGAGTCATCCGTGGACCTCTACAGTCAGGTCAGTATACATCATCCCAGGGTCATGGGTGAGTGAGTGAGTGAGTTTAGTTGTATGCCGCACTCAGCAATATTCCAGCTATATGGCGGCGGTCTGTAAATAATCGAGCCTGGAACAGACATTCCAGTGATCAACAGCATGAGCATCGATCTGCGTAATTGGGAACCGATGACATGTGTCAACCAATTCAGCGAGTCTGACCACCCGATCCCGTTAGTCGCCTCTTACAACAAGCATGGGTTACTAAAGGCACATTCTAACCCGGACATTCATGGGTCAGGGTCAGGGGAGGTCTAGCTGACAAGGGAGTCATGTCAACTGTGTGGTTTGCTAGTTAAAAAAAGTTGGAAAGGCGCCATTTAGTTGGTCAAGGTCTGTCACCTGGTTGTCATATATATATATCAACACAGTAATAAACCATTTTAAAAATCCTCTGAGGTTTAGACTATCATCTTGATTTATTTGATTTTTAAAGTCTCTTGGGTGAGTGGCTCGTTTTATCATTTAAGTGTAAGAGAAGTTTCTCAGAATCCTTTATCACATCACTAGCCCTGTCATTACATACTGTACATGCTGCGTGCAGGTGCTGCTGATGGGGTGTCGGTGTGTGGAGCTGGACTGCTGGGACGGAGATGATGGGGCACCGATCATATACCATGGACATACACTCACTACAAAGATCTCATTCAAGGTAAACATAAGTGCAACATTAACAGTGGATGTGAGAGTGAGTAAATATGATAATGATTGAATATGAGTGAGTGAGTGAGTTTAGTTTTACGCTGCACTCAGCAATGTTCCATCTATATGGTGGCGGTCGGACCAGACAATCCAGTGATCAACAGCATGAGCATCGATCTGCGCAATTGGGAACTGATGACATGTGTCAACCAAGTCAGCAAGCCTGACCACCCGATCCCGTTAGTTGCCTCTTATGACAAACATGGGTTAATGAAGATCAATAGTCTAACCCGGACCTTCACGGGTTGATTGAATATGACACTGTGACAGTGAGTTAGTGAGTGAGTTAGTGTCCACACCTGAACACAATAGTGAGTGAAAGTCTGTAATTAAGTAAGAGAGAGAATGAGAGGTAACAGCAGATAAGTCAGTTCACATGCATGTGAGAGATTGTATTTGTTAGTGCTACATTTTCAATCAATTAATCACTTAGGGTGTTGCCGAAGCCATCAACCGAAGTGCTTTTGTGACGTCCCCGTACCCAGTCATCCTGTCCATAGAGAACCACTGCTCCATACCACAGCAACAGAAGATGGCGCAGATATTCACAGTAAGATATTCCCTCTTGATGCTGTATGTAGCTATGGACATACTTACCATTCTTCCAACTCTGTGTGATCACAACTCAGCCGATCAGAGAGTCAAGAGAGTTAGTCAGAGAGTTGGGTTTCAGGAACATAGCTAGGCAGAGAGATGGGTTTTAGGAACATAGCTAGTCCAAGAGTTGGGTTTTAAGAACATACCTAGTCCAAGAGTTGGGTTTCAACAACACAGAAAGTCATAGAGTGTGATTTCAAGAACATACCTAGTCCAAGAGTTTGATTTCAAGAACATACCTAGTCCGAGAGTTGGGTTTCAAGAACATCGAAAGTCATAGAGATGGGTTTCAAGAATATAGAAAGTCAGAGAATTGGGTTTCAAGAACATACCTAGTCAGAGAGTTGGATTTTAGGAACATACCTAGTCCCAGAGTTGGGTTTCAAGAACATACCTAGTCCAAAAGTTGGGTTTCAAGAACATAGAAAGTCATAGAGTTGGGTTTCAAGAACATAGAAAGTCCGAGAGTTGGGTTTCAAGAATATAGAAAGTCAGAGAACTGGGTTTCAAGAACATACCTAGTCAGAGAGTTGGATTTTAGGAACATACCTAGTCCCAGAGTTGGGTTTCAAGAACATACCTAGTCCAAAAGTTGGGTTTCAAGAACATAGAAAGTCATAGAGTTGGGTTTCAAGAACATATCTAGTCCGAGAGTTGGGTTTCAAGAATATAGAAAGTCAGAGAGTTGGGTTTCAAGAACATACCTAGTCAGAGAGTTGGATTTTAGGAACATACCTAGTCCCAGAGTTGGGTTTCAAGAACATACCTAGTCCGAGAGTTGGTTTCAAGAAAAGTTGGGTTTCAAGAACATAGAAAGTCATAGAGTTGGGTTTCAAGAACATAGAAAAGTCAGAGAGTTGGATTTCAAGAACATACCTTGTCAGAGAGTTGGATTTCAAGAACATACCTAGTCCGAGAGTTGGGTTTCAAGAACATATCTAGTCAGAGAGTTGGATTTTAAGAACATAGCTAGTCAGAGAGTTGGGTTTCAAGAACATAGCTAGTCCCAAGAGTTGGGTTTCAAGAACATAGAAAGTCAGAGCCTTGGGTTTCAAGAACATAGTTAGTCAGAGAGTTTGGTTTCAAGAACATAGCTAGTCAGGGAGTTTGGTTTCAAGAACATAGCTAGTCCAAGAGTTGGGTTTCAAGAACATCGAAAGTCATAGAGATGGGTTTCAAGAATATAGAAAGTCAGAGAGTTGGATTTCAAGAACATACCTAGTCCAAGAGTTGGGTTTCAAGAAAATAGCTAGTCAGAGAGTTGGGTTTCAAGAACATAGCTAGTCAGAGAGTTGGGTTTTAAGAACATAGCTAGTCAGAGAGTTGGGTTTCAAGAACATAGCTAGTCTCAGAATTTTGGTTTCAAGAACATAGCTAGTCAGAGAGTTGGGTTTCAAGAACATAGCTAGTCCAAGAGTTGGGTTTCATAGAACATAGCTAGTCCAAGAGTTGGGTTTCAAGAACATAGCTAGTCAGAGAGTTGGGTTTCAAGAACATAGCTAGTCAGAGAGTTGGGTTTCAAGAACATAGCTAGTCAGACAGTTGGGTTTCAAGAACATAGCTAGTCAGAGAGTTGGGTTTCAAGAACATAGCTAGTCAGAGAGTTGGGTTTCAAGAACATAGCTAGTCTCAGAATTTTGGTTTCAAGAACATAGCTAGTCAGAGAGTTGGGTTTCAAGAACATAGCTAGTCCAAGAGTTGGGTTTCATAAACATACCTAGTCCAAGAGTTGGGTTTCAAGAACATAGCTAGTCAGAGAGTTGGGTTTCAAGAACATAGCTAGTCCAAGAGTTGGGTTTCATAAACATAGCAAGTCAGAGAGTTGGGTTTCAAGAACATAGCTAGTCAGACAGTTGGGTTTCAGAGTTGGTTTCAAGAACATAGCTAGTCAGAGAGTTGGGTTTCAAGAACATAGCTAGTCAGAGAGTTGGGTTTCAAGAACATAGCTAGTCAGAGAGTTGGGTTTCAAGAACATAGATAGTCCAAGAGTTGGGTTTCATAAACATAGCAAGTCAGAGAGTTGGGTTTCAAGAACATAGCTAGTCAGACAGTTGGGTTTCAAGAACATAGCTAGTCAGAGAGTTGGGTTTCAAGAACATAGCTAGTCAGAGAGTTGGGTTTCAAGAACATAGCTAGTCAGAGAGTTGGGTTTCAAGAACATAGCTAGTCAGAGAGTTGGGTTTCAAGAACATAGCTAGTCCAAGAGTTGGGTTTCAAGAACATAGCTAGTCAAGAGTTGGGTTTCAAGAACATAGCAAGTCAGAGAGTTGGGTTTCAAGAACATAGCTAGTTGGAGAGTTGTAATTTTTATCTAATAGTTGAACATTTTAGCTTAGTTGAGAATTGACAAAGTGTGAGATGCCAGTATGTTACAACAGTTTGGTACTGTGTGGTCTGACAATCTACTGCTGTTTCAGAGTGTGTTTGGTGACAAGCTGGTGACCAAGTTTCTGTTCGACTCGGACTTTTGCGAGGACCCACAGCTACCATCACCGAACCAGCTCAAGTACAAGATCCTCATCAAGAACAAGAAGATCAGGGACCCTGAGAGTACTGCAGCCATCAAGAAGGTAACAACATCTACACAATTATCATGGAGCCTTTCATTCACCACGATCAACAAATAGCATGTTTCTTGTTTTTTTTTAGAATAATATACATGTTACTAAGCAGGTTTTCTCACAGCACTGTATATTGTTAATTATAATCGTCAATGTTTGGGTCCAGAGAAGTGAATTGTATCAATTATAACTGAGGCTTCTACCTCATTACCTTGTTGCCTGAATTTCAGGTTAATGAATGTCGGAAAGCTACAAACTCTGTGTGGACCCAGAATATCAAGTGAATTAAGCTTAAACTAAGAACTTGAGACTTACTATCAGCGTATCATTTGCCTCCCTTCATTTCCCAATAGATAAAGTTACAAGATATTGGTCATGACCGAAACCATTGTGATACGTAAAAGAGAGTTATTTTCCTTTTGCCCCCCAATCATTTGAAATGGTTTAGATGAGATATCGTCTTGCTGATTCATGACTGTAATGAATGTCTGTTTTAGCTTCCTGTGCAGTCTCGGACATCCAGCATGGCATCATCGGAAAGTACCTCCATCAATGACTTCGATGACGATGATGATGAAGATGAGGATGAAGACGATGTTACTGATGGTGGGTGGAGATCAATGAATTCAACTTAAATTTACACTCACTGAAACACACAGGGAATTGGGTTTATGTCACTTTAACAGTATTCCAGTTACATCATGGTGTGTCAGCTTAATGTTAAAGGGGCCGCCTCCGTGGTGTAGTGGTTAGAGCGTCCGCCCGGAGAGCGCTGACCGCGTCATACCAAAAGACGTTAAAATATGGTACTTGTTGGTCCCTGCCTGGCACTCGGCATTAATGGGTACAACAAGGACTGGTTGGCTTGGAGTCAGTATACTGTGTCTGAGTGGGGTATTCATGCTTCACTGCAGCATGGTATCTCAGTGAGCTAGCACTATAAAACCAGCTTCAGTCTGGGCTAGTACAAGCAGCCGCACATATACATACACACGCATGCACGTCGTCATATAAGCAAAATATTCTCAAGCACGACGTTAAACCCAATTTCACCTCACCTTAATGTTAGAGAAGAGCCCAAAGTGATGCAGATCTCCGACATTTACCACTTTGCTGAAACCATTTGAATAAATAATTGCATTTGAATAAGTTTACCATTAGGGCTGCAATGAATCCACTTGGAGGTGTATGTAATACATGTCAAGAATATTGGGTAATGAAACAAATATTTGACAACCAATACAATAACAAGTCAACATTTGATATGTTATTCAATAACTTCAATGAAAGAATAACAATATCATTTGACAGAGTTTGATTTATTAAGACGACAACCAGTGACCACATTAATGTCAAAACAAATATATAAGAATGTTGGCTAATATCCTGTCAAGCTAGGATATATTCATTTTTCTATATCTTGTTTAGATAAGCAACACCTGCATTCAATTAAAAGTAAATATGTTACAAAATTTATGAATTTTCAATTCTAGTGATCGTGAATAATTATTTGAATTCATGAAAGGATATGGTTCGATTCACCGAATATGTGAGCGAATCATAACAGTTATCATCACTCAGAAACAGTAGGTAAGAGATCAGGCTGAGGCTGGATATGTAATGAAGTAATTCAGGGTTTGCTATGGGTATGTAACACCCAGAGGCAATGTGTCGGCTGTTGGTAAAATTGTCTCCCTTGTTTCCCCAGCTGTGAAGGAACTGAGGCGATCTGTGGACAGCCAAGACAGCCCGACGCCAGACCAGGAGGACAAAAGCAAGATGCAGTCAAGACAGAGGATGGACTCTTTTGGTGAACTTGGTCCGAGGTAAGACAGTGCTGAACTGGTGTAGTCCCTGGTTACAACAGGTCACTCCATAGAAAGAGTGCTGAACTGGTGTAGTCCCTGGTTACAACAGGTTACTCCATAGCAACAGTGCTGAACTGGTGTAGTCCCTGGTTACAACAGGTCACTCCATAGCAACAGTACTGAACTGGTGTAGTCCCTGGTTACAACAGGTCACTCCATAGCAACAGTGCTGAACTAGTGAGGTCACTCCCAGATATATCATAAGAGATGACTAACGGGATTGGATGGTCAGACTTGCTGATTTGGTTCACACATGTCATCGTATCCCAGTTCATGTTCATGTTCATGATGTCAATCACTGGATTGTATGGTCCAGACTCGATGAGTTACAGACTATCATCATATAGCTGGAATATTGCTGAGTGCTGTGTTAAACATCAAACAAGCAAACAAACACTACCAAATAACTGTGTTGAACCAAGCTCATGCTGGGTTGAACAGGACTGTCATTATCTAAGTTTGTGTCCCATTGAACTGTCTATAAAGGGAGGAAGACAGAAAATGTTTCTCGGTCATCAGTACCAACTTTTATATTCTGCATATTTTATTGCCAATTAAAAGTTATTAGAATTCTTAAAATAGGGAAGCCTGTTGGATTGGTCTCAGGGCTGTATATCATTATGGCAATCCTCTCACACCACCCATAGTTATGGAACATGTTTCCATGCTATTTGAAACAAATAGAACTGTGTAATACAGTCGTTATATGTTCTAGCATCCCCCCTCCCACTAAATATCCCCCACTCACAACTGTAATAAGTGACAAGTCCCTTACATGAAGCAGACTCCATTAACCATCAAAAATATCCGAAAGGTTTTGAGCATTATGTATTAGATAGGCTCAGTATTTTTATTAAATTTGATTGAATTCCTGCCTCCTTCTCATTTTTGGAGGAAAATATTTCCAAGAAATAATAGTTATGTTGGATGCAGCCAAAGTATCTAGATCTTGCTCACAATCTCTGGTTTCCCAGGCAACACTCTGAATCTTTTGGGGAGAAGCAACGTCCCAAAAGCCACCCTGAACTAGACTGGCATTTTGATGAGGACATCCATGATTTGAAAACACCACCTAAAGTCAAGGCCAAGAAAGCTAGTCAGATAGCCAAAGAACTGTCTGATCTTGTTGTATACACTCAGGCAGTCAAGTTTAGAGGTATGGCAATGATGACAATATATTTACATTAATTAATAAATAATCTTTACAAATAATTATGTCATGTATAATCTTAATGATTTTTAACTTTATAAGTATCATTTGGTATATGTGATGAGAGTGATTAAGGAGTATTGATATATATATACATTAATAAACTAACAACTGTGAAGACGAATTTCCTTTTAAATACAATTTATAAAAAGTTATCGTCATATATTGATCTATATGAATGTTTGTGATATATAAGGCCTATCCTTGAGTCCAAACACATCACTGAAGCAGAAGAAGGGGGCTACACGGAAGAGCATACTGACAAGTGGCCTTGGTAACAGCCCAAGTACCCCAACCCTCATTAACTCAGGTACCATTTTCCTCACAACTTGTTGGACTGACAATGAATAACAAAAATATAGTAATGAATAATTAGATAATAGTCTACTTTGCAACTTGGAATTATGGATTGTCCCCACTAAATGAATGATTTTGAACAGTTACTATTGTTTCCAACATTAATTCTTGGGGTAAGATAAACGGAATTCTGTGTTGCAAGCAGGTAATTCTTTATAAACTGGGGCAAACAAAACAGAATAAGTCAAATTGGGCTTCTTGACCTGATTGACAAAACAACATCAATGATATAGCCAATAAGCACCAAGCATGAATACCATCTATCCTGAGAACTATCCATAACATACTGTTATATCTGTTTCAGGTGAGAAGGTGGACCTCATCATCCCAGCATCAATACCGCGCATCAAGAAATGTGATGGCACCCCAGCCTGTTACCTGGTATCTTCCCTCAACGAGAACAAGGCAAAACAACTGTGTCGGAGAAACCCCCTCGGTGTCATCAAATATCCTTACTCAGCATTTTATTTAAATAGTGGGGATGTTTGCTGATCAAGTTTATAACTACTCCTAATTTGTTTGCAAAATATTTAGGAGTATTCCCACTGATTTGTATTTTAGGTAATTTATACAACTGAAATATCAAAATATCACAGCAATAAAAGATTGTCTATAATTCAAATACTGTTCAAAGTGCCATTATACTGAATTCACTCTTGGAAATATCCGTGTAGTATATACATGCAGGGGTGGATACAGCCTTTTGAGAAGGGGGTTGGGGTGTGCACACTTGTGCACTCTTGAGAAAGTTGGGTGCACACTTCATTTTCATGAGTTTCAATGGTCATTTAATAAACTTCCAGGACAAAAGGGGTGGTGGTGTGTGTCTGTGTGTGTGGGGGGTGGGATGGGGATATGCGCACCCCCCTCTGGATCTGCCTATGTACATGTCAATACCAAGTAAACTGTAGTGTCAGTGTTCTTCCTTAACCCCATCACCCATACTGAGAGGCAGCTGATGCGGACGTACCCGGCGGGGATGAGAATCGATTCCTCCAACTTCAACCCTGTTATATTCTGGGCTTTCGGCATCCAGATGGTGGCTCTAAACTACCAAACTGAAGGTAAGCAGGGGAGACAACCAGTAACACTCAAAACTGAAAGCTTTTATCTGCTCTTTCACATGCAGACCAGAGGCTATTGCATCATGTTCACTGATCTGACTGAAGAACACAAACACGGGACTGCTAACATCATCAAACCTGAAACATCTGAACCCTGCATCACTTTGATCTTTCCTCTCACATTAAGCTGACACACCACGATATAAGTAGAATATGTAGTGGTTGAAGTGGCATTAAACCCAACTCACTCACTAACTCCAGTGCATGCTACTGGAATCAACCACAGTGTGATGGGAAAGACTGGGATGTTATTTGGGAAAGTTTGTTTCTCTAAGCAGGGGGTTGTCTACAGGTATATTTTATGAGTGCTTCTGTCACTTCAGATACGGCCATGGCTCTGAATACTGCCATGTTTGAGGCGAATGGACACAGTGGTTACATTCTCAAGCCGCCAGTCATGTGGGCCAAGAATCATATGATGTACAACCGCTTCAATCCATGGGACAAGGAATTTGACGGGCTGCACGCCACCATCCTTACTCTCCATGTAAGTCAGACTGACAACTCTTAACTGGGAGGCTTACACTGCGTTAAACAATCAAGTTAATGGGTAGTTCCAAATGTGAATAATTATATCATTGTGGATATTTCACATAACCTGGTATTATTGATTTTGAATTTAACTTTTATTTTCAATTGAATCAGTAAAAATATAAGCTGCATTTTTTTAGAAAGCTGTTACCTAATCCAGGGGCGGTTGGGTAGCCTAATGGTTAAAACACCCACTCGAAAGACCTGGGGTCAATTCCCCACATGGGTACAATGTGTGAAGCCCATTTCTGGTGTCCCCCGCCGTGATATTGCTGGCATACTTTTAAAAGCTATGTAAACCCATACTCGATCACTCACTAATACCCAATCCGTGTAAATTACCTTTAGATTTGGTGGTGACAGTTCAAAGAGATTTTTAAAATTGATACAAGTTGCTGGTTGATATTAACATGACTGAATCTACAAACTTGTTTGTATGAGTTATCAACTATAATATCTTCAAATTAAAGCGGTTAAAAAATGAAACCACATTGTTTCAAAAAGCTGATGTAAGACTGGCTTGAAAGTCCATGTAGTCTACATCAATATTGGATGATGAAAGTTTGATTGTAAGAACTGAAACAAGATGGTGGTTGACCTATGTGTATGTTTTCAGATTATCTCGGGGCAGTATGTGTGTCCGAACCACACAGCCAGCACGCAGGTGGAGGTGGAGATCATCGGCATCCCGGTCGACTGTGCCAAACAGAAGACAAAAGTCATTGCAAAAAATGCCCTAAATCCAATCTGGAATGATGTCTTCACCTTCCAGGTAGGATCTCCTCACATCTTGCTTCAGATATAAATTAGTGGGATGTCTATTTGGCATCAGAAAATGTCTTCCTAGGAACATACCCGTGAAGGTCCAGGTTAGAATATTGATCTTCAGTAACCCATGCTTGTCATAAGAGGCGACTAACGGGATCGGGTGGTCAGGCTTGCTGACTTGGTTGACACATGTCATCGGTTCCCAATTGCGCAGATTGATGCTCATGCTGTTGATCACTGGATTGTCTGGTCCAGAGTCATTTATTTACAGACTGCCGGCATATAGCTGAAATATTGCTGAGTATGGCGTAAAACTTAACTCACTCACTCCCTCACTTCCTAGGAACTTTTTAGAACTGAAACTTGGTGTGCTCCTTCCCACATATGATTAATTGTCCCGACCCACGAAGGTCCGGGTTAGAATTGACCTTCAGTAACCCATGCTTGTAAGAGGTGACTAACGGGATCGGTGGTCAGGCTCGCTGACTTGTTTGATACATGTCATTGTATCCCAATTGCATAGATTGGTGCTCATGATGTTGATCAGTGGATAGTCTGGTCCAGACTTGATTATTTAAAGACCGCTGCCATTTGGCTGGAATATTGCTGAGTGCGGTGTTAAACAACAACCAACCAACCAACTAGTCCAGTCTGATTAGTACCTGTTATATATATCCATGCTGACAACAAAATATCACAAGGGTCAGGCTGTATTTACATGAATGCTGTTGTTGTTGCAGGTGCTATTTGCTGACCTCGCCTTCATCCGATTTGTTGTGACCGACACAAACACCAGCCATCTTGTCTCCCAGAAGATTGTGCCTCTGAGGTATCTCAGACCAGGTGAGTTAAATCAACAGATAATTAACTGTTTTTTTATACCTAAGTTTTAAACCATATTATGGAAGGGGATACCAGAAATGGGTTCCATACATTGTACCCATGTTGGGAATTGAACTCAAGTAGTTAGCATGATGAGCTAACACTTCAGCCATGAGACCACCCCACACTGGCAGGAGCTAGATATGATAGATAATGAAGTTATCGCATCACCAAAATGTATCATGAAATATGTTTGAGCATCCCCACCACAAGATTTGTAGACTTGGTTTTCAAGATATGGCATCAGGTGATAGCTGTTCAAGTGAATAATAACATAATCTTTATACACAATTATTATTTCACTTACTTGACATGATATCTATTTTCCATGAAATCAAAGCACTGAATCACAAAGACATCTAAAGACTTTGACTGTCTTGATCAAGTTGTATAAACAAATTTCAACACATATTCTAGTGCTCAGTTACATTGTTTATTTGGAGTCATTATTTCAACATGTGCAGTGGAGGTTTCAATAAAGTTCCAATATATCCACATAAAAATGTGTCACCTTATCCATGCAGACAAGGGACACATATATATTTCGCACTGACCCGTGAAGGTCCGGGTTAGAATTGATCTTCAGTAACCCATGCTTGTCTTATGAGGCGACTAACGGGATCGTGTGGTCAGGCTCACTGACTGGGTTGACACATGTCATCGTATCCCAATTGCGTAGATCAATGTTCATGCTGTTGATCCCTGGATTGTCTGGTCCAGACTCGATTATTTACAGACCACTGCCATATAGCTGGAATATTGCTGAGTGCAGCGTAAAACTTAACTCACTCACTCACCCACTGATGTGGCTGAAATATTGTGAGCGAGGTTTTAAAGAACAAACTAAAAAAGCAAGCCTGGAGGGTTATGCAGTTGTATTCAAAATGAGAGGGGGTGGTGGGGTAGCCTAGTGGTTAAAGCGTTTGCTCATTGGGCAAAAGACTCGGTTCGATTCCCAACATGGGTACACTGTGTGAAGCCAATTTCTGGGTCCCCCACCATGATATTGCTGGAATATTGCTAAAATTGGCCTGAAACTAATCACTTATCCATGTATGCTTGGTATTGCAGGTTACCGCCACGTCCGACTCCGCAATCCGTCCAATCAGCCACTAGAGCTGGCCACACTGTTCATCTACTCAAAACATGAGGAGGAGCTCCTTGAGCCTTGCAACAGCCTTGACATCAGTCATGCGTCAGGCCCCGGGAAACGCATGTCACTCTTTGCCAAGGTCAAGGAACTTTCAGAAGTTGCACGAGCGGACCAGGTATGACATTATTGCCTGATTAAAATATTATAAATTTAGCTGAACTGCAGGATATTAAACATGGCAAGATTACAGAATACCGGATACCTATCCGCCATTTTTATTTTGATTGAGCATTTATTTTTGCGCACTTCCATTTTGTTTCCTTAGCAACGGCACGCCATGAACGCCTTCAAGGATGTGTTGAAGCAGCGTTCAATATTAAATATTAAATATTAAACAATATTAAAGCTAAAAAAAGGTAAGATAATGGGGGTAAAGGGGGTACCCCCCTTTATTTAAAAGCCTTACCTACCTTACCTTACCAATCAAAAAACACTTACCATCCGAGTGTTCCCATACTGTAGAGTTCCATTTCCCAGCATGCATTTGAATAAAATTTCAACACACGATTACTTTTTACTCTGTTTACGTCAGTGAACGCTGTTAAAATCCTCAGTTTAGGTTTCCTACACCGGAAGTAAGGTGAGGAATTCGATTTTAACCTTATTTTTTACCTTAAATTCGTATTTTTATTGGATCGCTCGCAGGCTCGCGCTCTCTGTTTCTTCTATATATAGGAGCCTCACGCGAACAATAGAATGTATATAATAAGGTATCCGGTATTCTCTAAGTGTACCTTAAACATGCATATGTATTCAAAATTTGTTGATGGACAAAAAAGAATCTCTTTATACTTCAAACTAAAGTCATTTATGTATTTTTACATTCTCTTGAAGGCTGCAAATCCTGTTGTTACCAAACTGAAGCGTCGAATGTTTTTCATCAGTGTGTTTGGAGTTACTGCCCCTGATGAATATGTCATTCTCAAGGTCACTCAGGACACTACAGTATATGATGCCATAACACAGGTGAGTTTCTCAGGGTGTTAGTTTTCAAACAATGCCTTGATGTTAACAGACATTGGTGTTAGTCACCTACAATTGCAATGGATTTCGGTCAATACTTCACATTCCACACTTTAGACAGATAGGATTGCGGTGTTGAGGAAATTTACATCTATATATGCAGTCAAACATTATGTGTCTTGAAGTTTAAGGGACCTAAACGAATACTTTGAGTTCTGAGTACAACTAACAAGACAATAGGCCTTTGCCATGGTGAATTCAGTGTATTGGAGATTCAGATGTTTGGAACTGGAAAGTAGCTTCACATCATTGACACATCAGAGCTTAAATAATGACAAATAAAGAATGAATAGGCAGCCACTTAAGGGTAAAGTTTAAAAATTGGAACCAAAGTGTCTGACATAAAATTCCTTTGCCCCCTAGCATATAGAAACTGATGGGCAATAAGTGTGCCATATGTGTTTGATATTGGCCGAGATATACAAACATTAGCCCTGCTTTGAAGACCTGACTCCTCACTTACACATCTGTGGAGTTTTTCTTGCCTTGTTGTTCAAGTCTCTTCCTCTCTGTTGTAGTCCCTCATTAAAGTGGGTCGCCTGGAGGAGCGGGTGGGAGACTTTGTGTTGGTGGAGGATGTGCAGAGCGGCTGGGAGAAGCGGGACCAGGAGAAGGCCAGCAGTCAGAGGATCCTGGACATGACTGAGAAGGTTCTGCAGGCACAGAACAAGTGGAAGGGAGCAGGACGCTTCATCCTCCGTAGACTCAGTGATGTAAGTTCTTTGTGTAATAAACGTCATGATGTGTCATCCTCCGTAGACTCAGTGATGTAAGTTGCATCAAGTAAGATACACTGGGACATGTCAACCTCATCAGAATCAGAGTCGGTGGACTCTCTGGGTCTTGTAAACACTCACAGTTACATCTGTCGGTAGAGACACTACATCTGACATTGGCTCATTGTTTCATCTTTCTGTTCTCCTTATCTGTTCCAGGATCCCAGCAGCAGAGCGTGGGTGACCACATTGCTGAAAGACCAGAAGGTGGGCTAATTTTTGTCAAACAATTCAATTTGATTCAAGTATGAAAATGTGAAGTTGGACTCTACTAAGGGACTGGTCATTTATTATAGGGAGAGCCGCAGGAAAAGCTGTTGCATATATTAGGGGATGCTGTGATAAAATGTTATATAATATTCTTTCTGTGTTTTTTTCCAAATATGACACAGTCCTCAGACTAATTACCCCGCCCCCATATTAAATAAGCAATCTGTCAGCCTGTCACGAGATATATGTACACCAACTGGAAACACACTGATGTATTCTGTCTACAGCGTAAACATGACCTGGAGTCGGACACGACTGACTGGGACTCTCTGGAGCACATGTTTGTGGTGTGTGTGTACAATGTGTCACCAGAACAACCATACACAGTCTTCAAGGCCCCAGTCACCAGCACAGCCCAGGACATCATTACACAGGTAGGTGGAGCTGTCTGTCATATCACTGAAGTGACTGAAGCTACCCCAGATATACCTGGTACTGGGTAGATTCTGGGTCACATAATGACTGACTGACTGAGTTTGGTTTTATGCTGCTTTTAGCAATATTCCAGCAACATTCACAGCGGGGGACACCAGAAATGGGCTTCACACATTGTACCAATGTGGGGATTCGAACCCGGGCCTTCGGCATGACGAGCCAATGCTGTAACCATTAGGCTACCCCACCGCCCCCACATAATGAAAGTAGTGATGGAGCGATTATTGAAGTAGTGATGAAAACTTCTCTGAAAATACACCCTTCAGTATATGTGGGTAAATTCTGGGTCTCATCGTTAAAGTAGTTGTCCAGAAGAATATGTCTCACTTTATTAAGGCAAACAAGGAAAATCATGTTTTTTCATTTTGAGTTCAAGATTTACTTTATTAGATTTTTTCAACAAGAGAAAAGACATCCTGTACATATTTGCCAAAATGTCACTGTGACAGAATGTTTTGTTCAATCAGGCCATGATGAAGTCCCGACGAGCAAACACAGATGATCCCCGCAACTTTGTTCTGGTTGAAGAACTTGAGCTTCCATGTGTCAATGACAGCCAATCAGGGACAAGCAGACGGAAAGGCAGTGAGCGTTGTGAAAGTCGTGTGTTAGCCGATGACGAGAATGTACATCAGGCCCAGACAGAGTGGAAGACAAACGGAAGGTTCATGTTGGTTTCGCGGGAAACGGCAGGGGGAGAGGAACTTGGGGTGAGATATAGCTGATATATCAGTATGGAATATAGGCTGCCTATCTCATACATTTAAGTGAGCATTTCGTGGAAATGATGAAACTTTGTCCACTTGTGTTAGAGGTAGAGATGGAATATTGTATGTGGAAAGATGAAGGATTTTACACCTTTTAGTGAGTTTATTTTTATGCAACTTTTAGCAATATACCAACAATATCACAGCAGGGCACACCAGAAATGGGCTTCGTACATTGTACCCATGTGGGGAATCGAACCTGGGTGTTTGGCGTGACGAGTGAACGCTTTAACCACTAGGCTCCACCATGACCTCGGATTCAGTGTGGTGAAGTGACACATTCATGTCTGTGTGATGTCAATATTTCACAGCAACTGACATTATTGAATTGGAATTACTTGCAATTGGTCTATTAAGTGGTCACCATGAATTCCAGCAAGATGGCTGATGCACCATTTGGCTGTATTAACTTTCTAACTTGTTTACTGATTGATGCAAAATAAAGCAATATTCACTCATTTGCATATTTATCAACTGATGTAACTTTGATAACAGGAGAAGAGGCGCAGTCTCCCACTGCCTGTCAAGGTTCTGCCAAAGTCCTCTTGTGGGTCCCTGGCCAAAAGGATCGGATCCAAGAAGATTGTAAAGCAACACTTGATAGGAGAGAGGATGGCTCAGCTCCCACAAACACCAGGTGAGTGTTCAGTAATACAAGCATCTTTGTACAGTTAATATCTTAACAGACTGCCTCCATGGTGTAGTGGTTAGAGCGTCCGCCCGGAGAGCGGAAGGTCGCGGGTTCGATCCCCGGTCGCGTCATACCAAAAGACGTTAAAATAAGGTACTTGTTGGTCTCAGTCTGGCGCTCGGCATTAATGTGTACAACAAGGACTGGTCGGCTCGGAGTCAGTATAATGTGTCTGAGCGGGGTATTCATGCTTCACTGCGGCATGGTATCTCAGTGAGCTAGCACTATAAAACCAGCTTAAGTCTGGGCTAGTACAAGCAGCCGCACATACACATACACACGCATGCACGTCGTCATATGAGCGAAATAGTCTCAAGTACGACGTAAAACCCAATTTCACCTCACCTAATATCTTAACATCGTGCCCGTCATCTCACATGCCACAGTTTGTTATGCAGAGTAGCCTCCCATAAGCATGCAAGGATCCAGTGATTATGGGTTTTAATCCCAGATTTATCCTGATCTTGAACCTTGGTTCATCAGAACCATACCTTGATTTTTTTAAAGAATAAGTCTGCAGGAGCCTCTGCTTATCACATGAGCCAAGTAAACAGGTGGGAAGGCGAGAATGTATGGATATCTTCAACTTCTTTATTTTGGGACTGCCTCCGTGGTGTAGTGGTTGGAGCGTCCGCCCGGAGAGAGGAAGGTCGCGGGTTCGATCCCCGACCGCATCATACCAAAAGACGTTAAAATATGGTACTTGTTGGTCCCTGCCTGGCGTTCGGCATTAATGGGTACAACAAGGACTGGTCGGCTCGGAGTCAGTATAATGTGTCTGAGTGGGGTATTCATGCTTCACTGCGGCATGGTATCTCAGTGGGCTAGCACTATAAAACCAGCTTCAGTCTGGGCTAGTACAAGCAGCCGCACCTACACATACACACGCATGCACGTCGTCATATGAGCGAAATATTCTCAAGCACGACGTTAAACCCAATTTCACCTCACCTCACCTCACCTCACCTCACCTCACCTCACCTGTTTATTTTGAGGAACACGACATTTCATATCACCTGGTTAAGGAGTAAACATTATGTTCCTCAAATTAGAAAAGTTGACATCCATAAATTCTTGCTTTCATGTGTTTCACTTCACATGTAAACAGGTGTGAAGGCAAGAATTTATAAATGAATGTCATCAACTTTTGTATTTTGAGGAATATTAAGTTTCATTTCACCTCATGAAAGGGTAAGAACATACTCCGAAACATCGTTTTCCTCAAAATATAAAAGTTGACATCCAGGTTTTGATTGTGAGGTTTGGTGGGTGATTGTGTGTCATCATGCAGAGATTGTTGCTCATAGTGTTGGCCATCGGATTGCCTGGCCAAGATAAGTGCTGATGTGATAAAGCTAGAAAATTGCTGATCAGGGTGTAATGCAGCATTCACAATCCCATCCTGTTCTTATCTTCTCATCCTTATATACTTTGACTTCTATCTTGCAGACCAGATACGGAAATCCATCAGTTTCCCATCTCAGGTGAACAACACTAACCTGGTTGCCACGGCAACAGCCTCATCACGGACACACACACATAATGACAAACCAGGCATGTTCAAGATAAAGAAGTTGTCTCGCCTCAACTTCAAACTGGGGAAATGAAGGCTTGAAATACCAGACACTATGTTTCAACATTCCATTTACCAAGGTAGACAACTCTGTCACCTTCTGATTCTGCGTTCAGATTCAGAAAAAAAATCATTTTGATCAAAAGATCAAGGTTGAGTGGTGAGGATGAAAAAAATGCTGACAATGTATTTTGAAGTCAAGGCCTTGGTACCTAACGACGGCATTCTGCTTGTTTACCTGAACTGAATGGCTTTGTCAGCCATGACTGAGCCAAGTGGGCTGTATTTCACAAGGATCGGACATTTCAGTGCTATTCTGTTGGGTTGTGCAATGTAAACATGGTATTGGATTTGTGATATTCCTGGCAATCGTCAACATTGGAGACCTGAATCGATTGCCCCATGTGTGAATAACAAGAACAACAACATGGCTTGGAGGCCATCATGGGTTGAATTGTAGCCTTTATTCCTACTTCCAGTCTTTCTGTAATAACAGATGATAAAATGGGCAATATCCCTTGAAATGACACATGACACTGCCATCTGATTGGATAATGGTGATGTATAAAAGGCATTGATTGGATGCAAGATTTGATTGGACCAGTACAGGATTTCTTATTGGTTAAAACCAACAGGGCAATACCCTCCGATTGGATGAGAGAATTATGCTGTGATGACCATTTTCTCAATCAAAACACCATATGGTCTATATTTATTATTGCACATTTGTGAGAGAAATTAGAAATATTATAGTGAATTTGCAATTTTCCATGCTGTGGCAATATCTCCATCTTTGTACTTTTCTTATTCATGAAGACATGACACTACAGTTGTTTCAGTTGATGGGAAGTATTTCCAGCACCATCAGTCTTCAGGAAAATGTTATTGTATTGAGTAAACATTCTTGAACATGATTCATTATTTATTTCATAACTTATTGTGATTAATATGTTTACTTTTGTATGTGGAGAAAATACAACATACTGATAGCCTGAAGTCACACAATTACACACTAAAGAGGTGAACAAAATAATGTGGATGGTTCATTTCTGTCAACTCAGCAAATATGTGTTCTTTAGTCAGCATCAAACTGCATTTTGACTTGTGAGACTTGACTGATAGTCTGTACGATACAGAGAGACAGGCTGTATGCTGAAAATAACTGAGGTTGTTGGGTGCATTAAACATCAATACAGCAGGTGCAAATATATAACATCCAGACAACAGGTGATGGGTGCATCTCACATCCAGACACCAGGTGTTGAGTGCATGTTGCACCCAGAAAGAATGTTGAGGGCAGATCACATTCAGACACCAGGTGCTGAGTACATGTCACACCCCAAAAAGAATGTTGAGGGCAGATCACATCCAGACACCAGGTGTTGAGTACATGTCACACCCCAGAAAGAATGTTGAGGGCAGGTCACATCCAGACACCAGGGTGTTGAGTACATGTCACCACCCCGGAAAGAATGTTGAGGGCAGATCACATCCAGACACCAGGGTGTTGAGTACATGTCACACCCCAGAAAGAATTCTAAGGCAGGTCACATCCAGACACCAGGTGCTGGGTGCATGTTGCACCCCAGAAAGACTGTCGAGGGCAGGCCACACTCAGACACCAGGTGTTGAGTACATGTCACAGCCCAGAAAGAATGTCCAGGACAGGTCACACTCAGACACCAGGTGTTGAGTACATGTTACACCCCAGAAAGAATTCTAGGGCAGGTCACAGTCAGACACCAGGTCTTCAGTGTCTTATGTCTCATCCAGACACCTGCATGTCACATTCAGTCCCCAGTAGTGTAACACCAGGTGTTCTATGTATATCACACCCAAGTACCATTTCCTCAGTAAATGTCACACCCGCACAATACATGCCTTACAGTGTGGAATATATTCCAATAACCATCCAAGTTTTCTTTAGAAGGGGAAAACAAATGTATTACATTGTTTGAGAGAATAGAATGTTAGCTGTCAACTGCCAAATGTCCAGTATCCTTCATCACAGAATTTACCACAGAATTTCTCTCCAGTGAAAAGATATAATTTTGTTTTCAAAATTTCAAAAAGATATACATGTATGTGTCCCAAGTATTTGGAACATAAAGATTAGTACAACTAATTAATTTGACATCCCAAACGTAAATTGTTGTTTTGGTCTAGAATGTTAGTAAATGAGTTTTTCGTGTCTTGTTAATGGGATGTACATTGTTTGAATACATGAATATTATATACTTGAAGTATTTGACTTGTCTTTCCACTCTGGACAACTGATGACGACTATGATGAGCAGTGTGATGGAAACAAGTGCTTTTGCTGTGACATTTTGTTTAACTACTGGAAACAAACATACCTAGGCACCTCCTGTCAAAGTCAGTTGGTTTTTGTTCCCTCATTTCAAATCATTTATCAGGTCACCTGGACCAATGTGTCCGTTTACCAGTATTGAAACATCAAAGTCTAGTCATGTATACAATGTTAATTGTACAAATGAATTGAGTGAGAGAATATTTAGCAGGAATGGACAGTATTCTAGATGTGTCATATTGCTGAGCTTTTATGTAGGACACCTGGTTTTGAGTGCATGTACCATCAAGACACCAGGTGTTGAGATGACACATACCAAGACACCATGTGTTTAGTGTGAGTCAACACTAGGACCAGGTGTTGAATATATGTACTAAGATACCAGGTTTTGAGTGCATGTACCATCAAGACACCAGGTGTTCAGTGAATATAACACCCAGACACTAGCCATTGGCACCATTCAGCTGGAATATTGCCTAAAAGTGACATATCACCCTGATATTCACTCATTTACTCATGCAAGCCCTGGGTTTGAGTTTCAAAGACTTTAATATGAGGTTCGCTGTTCAGGACCATGTAGATTTTGCAATCAATAACAACCTGTTCATGTTTTCAAGGACAATGTCATTTTGTTTGTAAAACTGTTTGTCACTTTAATGTTTTGTTTTAAACATTTTTTTGTACAAATGTACAACTCCACCAAGAAAAGAAAGCCTTATGGATCACAATGGAAAACCTTTGTATCCCCCTGGCTTTTGGAATTATCTGCCACATATGACCTTTCTCAAATGTTAATGTCTACCTAGACTGCAGACAAAATGTCAGTTTTATTACCCATCTTTTACAGCATTCTAATACCGATTTCTCTTTTGTTATCTCTAAAAAACTGCTAGTGCCCATTAGTGTCCCCCCTATACTTATGAAGAAAGAGATGCCTAACACCATCCCAATATGCTTTTTGCTGCTTGATAAGATGCCATAAATAATGAAATAATTAAAAGGGAATGTCTCCATCACATGACCCTTTTCAACATTTTTTATGCCAAATCATTTTTGTATAGCCATAAAGGGAGGCAATTCTTTTCATCCAATCTAAATGAAGTAGGTGTGGGCTCTTGAAGACAATGTTTTTGAAACAGTTCGCTTTCATTTTTTTAATCTAAAATTTGTTTTTGACCAAAAGAGAGTGCCACAGTACATGGAACACGTTTTAGTGTTGATGTCTTGGTGCCTAGAAACAACAGGCTGCATGTAATATGCTCAGTAATTAAATAGCCTGATTTGATTCATTTGCATTCTGAACTCAGCAGTTACATTTGTTTTTGAGATACAGAAATTAGATATTCTTGCCTGATGAAGACATCATGCATTCAACACTGAGAGTAGTTCCCCTTGGATTGTCCAGGAGTCTGAGTTTGAACATGGCAGTTGATTTCTTTGGTCAGGGTGTGTGTACAAAACAAGAAGTCCTCTCTGTGATAATTGTTAACTTTACTTTGTTTTCATATTTTCCATTCACATATTCCTGTTGGATCTAGAAATCTTTCATGCCAAAATACTTAATGCCTTTGTAAACATATGTTGAAGATCCTTCAATGGTTTTTAGACTGAGTAGACTCACATGTATATAGTGTAGAGTTCACTGAAGCCAGTGAATTATGCTATACAATTTATACTGAGACCCAATAAGATATTACGTAGTCTATCATTTAGTATTATTCTCATATATATTTAGATATATCAGGGAATTCATGATTTGATACATTTCGCAAATTAAAGTCACTCCATGAAATTATAATTTATTCTTTAAAACTCTCATAAAGACAGACCATTATTTGTTCTAGTTTATACAGTTAAAGGTGCTTATATTCCAAAATGTGAGAGTTGAAATATGGCCTAAAAAAAAATGTTGTGGTTCCGATTACCCGACCGACCCTTGAATTCTGGTGCCTACCCTATCTTTTTTAGGTGGTATGAATAAAATAAGCTTTTAGATACCATTGTTTTTTCCCGTCACCGACGGACATCGGTCACTCTGATAGAGAAATTGACATGATGACCGCAAGCTTGATGAATAAACAATTACACATTGATAAATGTGTTATTAGTTTGTACTTTACTTCTAAAAAAATGTTTACAAAAAAAAATCCTATCTACCTACCCTAAATTTCAAAGAGGTGTAATCGAAACCACAACATTTGTTTTATTTGGCCTATTCTTACAAATTTGATTTAATTTTCTTTTTTTGAAGTACAGAGATAACAAAATGCAAATAAACAATGTTCAAACTGTCAGCATAAATGATTTTCTTTCATAGCTATATTTTGGGTTTAAATTGAAGTTTTTCATTTTAGGTACAGCTCATTAATAACAAGACAGAATAATGGTCTTGCCTTGCCTTCTCCATTTGTCCCAGGCTGAGTGATAGCTGCAAGAGTTATCGGTCATTCTGTGCTGGTCACATATGTACTATTTCACTGTTATTGTTTTTCAAATTGTTGTGTTTGCAAGAAAATGTTTATGCAAATATTTGGTCACACGCAGACATTTGTGCATTCCAGTTAAAAAGCAGATAATACTGACATTATTTGTGGTTTGTCATATATTTATGGTATCATGTAATTGGAAACATTTAAAATTAGGATGTTATGCAATACTTGGCTGATTCATTTGCTTCATGTGACAGTCTCTGCTTCCCTGTAGTCTTTATATGTTGCCCATTTTTATAAAAAATTATTTTATACAAAAATATACAAACTTTATTAAGGATCCGATAAAAATGTTTTCATGTCGCCAAAAATGACTTCAGTCCAAGAAGCACAATGTGAGGGGTTTATGAATGCCTTTTCGGAATGTAAGAAAGTACCACCTACATTTGTTTGCTAACTCTTGCCATGGTTCCAATTTCAATCAGAAATGGATAAAATTCATCTGTAACTTTTGAGCAGATTTTGGGTACGAGGATACAGTGATTGGGACACAGCTGGGGTAGAACTTTATATGTGATGAGAGGTTGAATATTTAGTGGTCTTTCAGCAGTCTTGGATGTTATACTTATTGGTACAAATAAGGCAACATAACGAAAGAATTTACATGACAGAAAGTTTTGCTGCATTCTAACTGCCTTGATCTAGGATTTTGGAGCAGGGGGTGCACATAAATCATGAAATCCAAAGGTTAGGGGGACATGTTTCTCATGGAAATGTTTTTGGGGAGAAGGGTGCACACCCCACCTCTAGATCTACCCTGGCTATATAATACTCAAAAGAAGTTAGGAACAGACAGATTAACAAAAATATGAAAACTTCATGTGTTCTTTCACTCTTTTTTACTTTTCCACTACATTGCTATGAATTTTTGGGCCATAACTGGTGTATATTATGTATGCTGTGTCAAGGGAACGCATCATTTAAATGTGATCCCCTATTTCTTTTCATCAGTATGTTTTGAATAGTGTTTACAGATTTTGTGTTTTATCATATGGTGGTGTATATAACCATTTAGCAAAAAGACCTGAGTTTTCGAGTAAACTTTGACTGTAACAGTTCTTGCAGGAATTATCTAAATGTATAAAATGGTCCTTTTTCCTTACCTTTGGGGTTTGCTGCCAAAAGGAGTGGTACCAGTCGTATCCTGAATGTCAACACTGAAAATGCCAAGAATATCTTCTTATAATTTCATTCTTTGGTCTTCCTAAGAAGCTATAGTTTTGATTTGATCATAAAATCATAAGATTGTGAAAGGTGTTTGCAAAAGCTCTTACTTGGGAGTTTTAAGATTTGAGCAAAATAATTTTGGAGGGAGGCCTTTTTTGTGTCTATGACACAGAAAGATGTTTTGAAGGGTCACCTTATAAGTGAACACCATGTGTTCCTAGTTCCCATGGTAACTAGCTGTCGATGTTTTGGACACTGTGATCTATAGCTTATGGCAGTATCACTTCGATGTTCTGATGCACTGCGTTACTGGAACATAACGTGTCACTTTTAATCTTGTGTTCCTGAAATCAGATCTGTACATAGCACTGTGTTACTTGCAGGATGTACACCTCTTAACACTTCAAATATGTAAATGTCATGCAAAGTCCAAACCTGTTATACACAGTTGAAAAATGATAAAATTATTTCTATTAAGTAGTTTTAGAGCATTAAATTGTTTGTTATAAAGGTAAATATTGGTTTTGTTAAAGGGATACACAAAAGAACTGTCTCAGCAGCAACTGCTGAACATACACTTGTTTATTGGTACCAAATGTCTCCAAATTTCTGTTGAAATCTTTTTATCTGTTATTGTTATTTCCATTTGGAAGTCAGCGCACTCACATCACAACTGCAGTGAGATAAACTTTCAAAGTTTGTTAACCATGTTTTTTATTGTTTTGCCACTTTTAAAACAATCACTTTAATTTTCTTCATAGATACATCCTTTGCATCCTTAACCTGGTATCAGTTGTTGTTTCATGTACATCTTCATAATGCATTTCAATGTAAAAGCATTAAGTATTCACACTGCTGGTTGGTCATCAATTGTGGCAATGGCTCCAGCCTGTTTTTTAGATGTCATTTTGTAATAATTTTTTAAGTATATCGGGTATTTTCATATCTTCACTAGATTAGTATTCATATTCATAAAAATGCCCAATTCTAAGTTAATTCTCTACTGTACATGAGCAAATGTAAAAAGTAATTATCTTGTTGCATGGGGGACGTCCCATTGTTGATATAAAGGACATATAAATGTTCTCGACACATAGAATTGGAACAATATTATTATGGAAACTCATGTCAGCCAAAGTTTGTCCCATATACCTCAATGCCCTTTACATATCAATATATCTTTCAGTATATTGATATATTGAGAGCTTGACGGTTAAAGGACCATGAGAAGCTGGGTTTTTTAATAAGATATACATTTGAGGTATATTTGTACTTTGAATAGATCTTGTAACATAGAAACGCATAATTTGGACGTGAGTTTCCAAGGTACTTTATCTCACTGAGGGGTGTGATACTGTGACTGTCAACAAGGCTACACGCATGTAGTCTTCAGTTGTATGTGCATCTGTATAAATGTATATATTTAGTCACAGTTGCATTGACCAGAGTTTCATTGAAAACGTTGAAAATATTTGAAATAACATATCAAAATAATAAATGTCTCTGAACAATTGTTGAGTGTTCTTGTGTATGTTATTCAAATATTCATAATATATTCAAATATATGCAAAACAGCATTACTAGGGAGTAATCAGTCTCGATTAGCCAACCAGAGAGATTTGTGAGGTATAAATGGTAAAACAGCAATGAAAAATTATAATGGATAACTGAAAATCTGTGATGACGCCAGGTGTTTGCAAAATGAGACAAGTAGCTCCTGCCGTGCGATGGTGGCATCTATAGAAACTAGATTGTAAACTGATGGACCAAGAATCCAGTCAAAACTCAATACCAGAGAATAAGCAGTGTCAAATATTTTCCACAACTGATGCCAAAAAGGTAAAAGCAGCAGGGTGGGTCGCAGAAACCACAGGAATGGGTCCAGGGTGCTATTGTACAAAACAACCTTAGCTCTAAGACTACCTTGAGTCTATGTAAGGTATGGGAGTTATGGTCACCTTAGCTATAAGTCTATGTTAAGGTATGGGAGTTAAGGTCACCTTAAGCTAAGACTACCTTTAGTCTATGTTAAGGTATGGGAGTTACGGTCACCTTAGCTCTAAGACTACCTTGAGTCTATGTTAAGGTATGGGAGTTACGGTCACCTTAGCTCTAAGACTACCTTGAGTCTATGTAAAGGTATGGGAGTTACGGTCACCTTAGCTCTAAGACTACCTTGAGTCTATGTTAAGGTATGGGAGTTACGGTCACCTTAGCTCTAAGACTACCTTGAGTCTATGTAAAGGTATGGGAAGGTCACCTTGAGCTAAGACTACCTTGAGTCTATGTTAAGGTATGGGAGTTCACGGTCACCTTAGCTCTAAGACTACCTTGAGTCTATGTTAAGGTATGGGAGTTATGGTCACCTTAGCTCTAAGACTACCTTGAGTCTATGTAAAAGGTATAGGAGTTACGGTCACCTTAAAGCTTAGACTACCTTGAGTCTATGTTAAGGTATGGGAGTTATGGTCACCTTAGCTCTAAGACTACCTTGAGTCTATGTAAAGGTATGGGAGTTACGGTCACCTTAGCTCTAAGACTACCTTGAGTCTATGTTAAGGTATGGGAGTTATGGTCACCTTAGCTCTAAGACTACCTTGAGTCTATGTTAAGGTATGGGAGTTATGGTCACCTTAGCTCTAAGACTACCTTGAGTCTATGTTAAGGTATGGGAGTTATGGTCACCTTATCGCTAAGATCAGCCTTGAACAGCATGCTGAGATGACATCTTTACCTGGGCATGATCTTTATGATGGGGTTAATAACTTGGTCAGACTGACAAGACGTCTGACTTCGGATCAGGTCTGTTATTCGAAACCCAGAAGAAGACTCTGAAATTTTATGGACACTACACAAACATTGACTTAAAAGAATTATAGGCAAATTGTTTACATCAAGGAATATTTTTAAAAATGTAGCATATAAACTAACTCGCTCATGTACTCGCTCATTCCTCTGGATGTACAGTACAAATATTCACTAGGATATGACAATAGTGTCCTAATGATGATGTGGGTAAGAATTAATCTTCACCAGCCCATGTTTGATCGGGCAGTTAGACACACTAGTTTGGTATACACCTCAACTAAGTAAATCACTGCTCAATGTCAATCACTGGTTTATCTGGTCCAGGTCTCATCATTCACAGTCTGAATGGCATATCACTGGATTATTGCAGAATGTGTTCAACAACAAACAGTCGTGGAAGATGCCTCAAGAGCCATATGTTTATGATTTCCACAAAATACAGTTCTTTGATACAATGTATTCCAGTCTGAGACAGATGAACAGTATCTAATATCATGACTTGCATTACAAGGCTCTTACCAAAAGCAAGATGTATTAAGGGCATATTCTACCTTGGAAATGGCTAAACTCTAAATGATTAAAACTTTTAACTATTGATGAACTATTTCTTGGGACATTTAGAATTTATATTGC